TTCCAGAACAGCCTAGGCTGTTACATAGTGAAACCCTGTCTTGAAACCACCCCCCCCCCCCCCCCCCCCCCCAAAAAAAAAAAAAAAAAAAAAAACACCAGATGGCTCAGTGTGTATTCGTGCTTGCTGCTAAGCCCAAAGACCTTATAGTTTGATCCCCAGTATCCAAAGAGTGGAAGGAGAGAATCAGCCTCTGCACTTTCACTGACCTCCACACCGGTGCACTGTGGCATGAGAACACAGACACACACAAATTAAATATATGTACTTTGAATTTTGAAGCTGTTTTCTGTTGTATGCGTTCAAGGTGGTGAAATTATGACAGCAAGCAGGCTTACCAAGTAAAAGGGTTTTGCTCCCTGCCTAACAAGTGGAGTCCAAGCCCTGAACTCACATAGGAGAAAAGGAGGATAATTTCACCAGGTTGTTTTCCGACACAAACAATAAACAAATACATAATTTGTAATAATAAAGGCCGATTTTTAGCTACATGCATTCAAAATGGTAGAATTAGGGCTGACTAAATGATTCAGTGGGTACTTGCCACCAAACTGATAACCTGAGTTTGAACCCTGGAATCCATATCGTAGGACTGAACTGATTCTGGTGTTTGATTTTCCAAGCAGAGCAAAATGTATTTATGCTCAGAAAAAAAAAGGGGGGCAAACTGCGTACTTAAATAGCATGGCTATTATATGTTTTCTGATAAAAAACATTTCCTGGGGAGACAAAACACACGTGTTTATTCACCCCAAATAGGGAGCCCATAACAGATTTAAACTACAGATACCATCAAAGTCCATCCTGGTGATCCAGTGATTATTATTGGGGTTACTTACAGGAATACAGGTGAGGGGTTACTTACAGGAGTAGAAATGACTCAAAGCCAGCTGCCTCACCGGAGTCCACCCCAGCCGGGGAGAACCTGGAGCACACTGCACAGCCTGCAGGCAGCTCAGCGCCATGGAAAATGCCTTTTCCAGGCGCCTCAGTTGCTGGAAACGTCTTCCAGGCAAGGCAGCTCCAGCTTGGCTAGTTGCTACATCTTCCAGGCAGCTGGTCTGGTCTCCTCTGAGAGTCTTCTTCTTCTTCTTCGCAGCTCAGCTTCCTTTCATCTCAAAAGGACTCGCAGCTTTTATTCTTTCCTCCGGCAGGGAGGGGCCTAGTGAGTGTGGTGGGTTTGGGGGACTTCTGGGAGCTCTTTTGAGTTGTTTACCTCCCTGCTTAAGGAGCTTCCTGAAGCTCTTTTGAGTTGCTTACCTCCTTGTTAAGGAGCTTCCTGCAGGGTGGAATGTTCAGTTCTCTGAGGAGGCTGTCAGGCAACAGTATATTAAAGGCCTTTGCAGTTTTATTAGCTATATTTTCAACAACAGCCTGCACCCTGATAATATGGCTTAACATATACATGGGAGTAGGGTACCCTCAGGGTCCGTCCTCTGCAAGTAGCTGGACCATAATAATGGATTTCACACTCAGCCATTCATTATCTTTCTAGTTGACAATTTGTAGGGCATGCCATTTACTTTGAGTCTCTCTTTCCTTGAATACTGAGACTTCCAAATGGTCCCCTCTGGTAAGTGGGAGCAGGAAGAAAGCTGTAGTGAGAGGCCCCAACACATGATCCTAATCAGTTTGGGGGGAAGTATAATCTGGGCTGTTTTCCCCAATAATTGAAGTTTTGTTTTGTTTTTATTTATTTAAGAAATTTTTATTCATTCCACATACCAACCACAGATTCCCCCTCTCATCCCTCCTCCCGCTCCCCTTGTTTTTTTGAGACAGGGTCTCATTATGTGGCTCTGAATGGCCTGGAACTCGCTGTGTTGACTGGGCTGGCCTCAAACCCACAGGAGGCCTCTGCCTCAGGGGTAGTAGGATTAAAGGCATGCACCACCATACCCAGCTCCAATAATTGAAGTTTTAAGGAGCCAAACCCCAGTAGCAGGACTGGAGTATCCTGTCTCATTATAAAGCTTGCAGGGATCCAATTCTTTAGTTTTTCAAGGCCATTGATCTCCCATATCAATTTCCTCACATACATGGCCAGAAGAGCCCTTTAGAGCCTGGCTATAGTCTCTGCCAGGACCAAAAACAGGTTTCTTGTTATAGTAGGGATGGGGAGTGGGCTACTTTTTATTTCCTCATAAAAAGAATAGAGGGCCTGGATTTGGCTTTATGGATGATAGAAACTCTTGAAATATAACAGGCTCTATGTCCATGCCCTGTTCCAATCTGCCAGCCAGTTTTCTTACGTAAGGATACTGAAATTAACAAGGTTACTGGGTCTCTAGTTGATAGTCTGCTGCAGCAGCCTCCTTTTGAAGGAGTACCATTTTGTACTTTCCCGGCCAGGTGCTCATGAAATGTACCCAGTAGGGACAGTGAAAATGTGCACTAGGGGGTGCATCTGGCCTGAATTGAGGGCCGCTCACAAATGTAATTATCATATAGCCTGTATGCCCACTCCTAACATAGTCCTCCCAATGGCTCAACAAAGTTGATCAGCCATAAACTATGGTTGCACACACACATGAAAGTATTTATTGACACTGGTTGTCCTAGGTTAGGTTAGAGAGGTGTATCTTTTGGATCATTTGTCCCTTGACCTGGGGGATGGCACTGAACCTCCAATCCTTCCTTTGTTGGAATGCACTGTGGATCAATGCATGTATAGTGTCTCCATGTTGACAAATGGAATAGGTGATTTTGTTATGCTCTCAGGGCCCCAAGACCTTCCCTTGGTATGAGAAATGGGTGTGATAAATAAAGCAGTATCACCCAGAGGGGAGGTGGTGGCACATGCCTTTAATCCCAGCACTCAGGAGGCAGAAGTAGGCAGATTTCTGTGAGTTCCAGGCCAACCTGGTTTACAGAGCAAGTTCCAGGACAGCCAGGGCTGTTACACAGAAACCCTGTCTCGAAAAACCAAAAAATAAAAAAATTAAAGCAGGGTCCAAGTAAGTCTGGCCCAAGTGAATTAGGTGAATACAGTGGATCTCAGAATGAGGGGGCTGGACCCACAAAGCAGGGCCAGATCAGTAGTAGCAAGAATTAGTTATGCATCTTATTAGTAAAGAGTGCTAATAGAAAGTTTCAAAACAGGACCAGTTAGCTGCCTGTTTACTCCAGA